GTGCATAATCGTGGTCATTTAGACCGAACGCCTCCAGGCCACTCAGGATGGTGTTCTGGGCAAAGCAAAGCAGCAGCAACCGTTTAAACTTATGTCGAAGACGGAGTCCCCAGATGCCCCCCAGGCTGTAGAAGGAAACCTTTGACGCTTGGATCCTCCTCGTGACTTCTTGAGCCGCCAGAGAGCTCATGGTGATGTAAGGTCCCAGATATCGTACCGCGTCCTTGGGCGTCCCGCCCAGCTCGTGTTTACGTCCCCCAAGTGCTTGTTTGCCCCACGCCCCATGGCAGCTGAAGTGGAACAGGAATTCTTGCTTGCCGAGGTTTTGCCCGTACCCGTATTCTTCGAGTTTATTGCTGAAGCAGTTGCCCACCCGAGACGAAATCGGAGAACGTGGAATCAAAATCGGACAAGACGATCTTATTCAAGTCGTCCGCGCATTTTAACAATGATAAGTCGGAGCTGAGGTCCCCCCAGGCAGCGCGAAGGTCGCGAGCGGAACGGTCCCATTTGGGTCGCTCCCACCTCCATGGCAGTATAGGCCTCGAACAAGTCGAGAGGAACATCGCCACTATGTATGGATCCCCCATCGTCTTCCCCGGAAGGGCTTCGCGATCACGTCGCCATCGCAGGAAGGAAGGACCACCACCGAGTGCTCGAATCTCTGTCGGCAGAGGTCGCGGTCGTGGCCTGCACATGCAGGTCAACATGGTCGGACAGCGCCTCGTAGGTGCTACTTCAGAGCGTGAATTACCTACCCCGCTTTCGCTTCCAGGCAAAACCAAGTCATACCACGCGCCTCCTCGTCAAGCGGCGGAGAGCGCGTGTGCGTCCCGTGGCCCGTGGCCTCCACGAAGTATTTGGTGCTAACTACTACTACTACTACTGCTACTACTACTACTACTACTACTACTGCTACTACTACTACTACTACTACTACTACTACTACTACTTCTACTACTACTACTACTACTACTACTACTACTACTACTACTACTACTACTACTACTACTACTACTACTACTACTACTACTACTACTACTACTACTACTACTACTACTACTACTACTACTACTACTACTACTACTACTACTACTACTACTACTACTACTACCTACTACTACTACTACTACTACTCCTACTCCTACTACTACTACTACTACTACTACTACTACTCTACTACTACTGCCGCTGCTACTGCTACTGCTACTACTTCTACTCCCCTTCTACTACTACTGCTACTACGATTACTGCTACTACTATTACTACTACGACTACTCTTCTACTACTACTGCTACTACTACTACTACTGCTACTGCTACTGCTACTGCTACTACTACTACTACTACTACTACTACTACTACTATTACTACTGCTACTACTACTACCACTACCACTACCACTACTACTACTACTACTACTACTATTATTACTACTACTACTACTACTCTTCTACGACTACTGCTACTACTACTCTACTACTCCCACTGCGACTACTACTACTACTGCTACTACTACTGCTACTACTACTACTGCTACTACTCTCCGACTACTACTGCTACTACTACTACTATTACTACTGCTACTACTACTATTATTACTACTACTACTACTACTACTACCCTTCTGCTACTACTGCGACTACTACTACTACTACTACTGTTACTGCTGCTACTACTACCCACTACTACTACTACTACTACTACTACTACTGCCACTACCACTACCACTACTACTACTACTACTACTCCTCCTACTACTACTACTCTTCTACTACTACTGCTTCTACTACTACTACTACTGCTACTACTACTACTGCTGCTACTACTACTACTACTACTACTACTACTCTGCTACTACTGCTACTACTACTGCTACTACTACTACTACTACTCTTCTACTACTACTACGGCTACTACTACTACTACTACTCTTCTACTACTACTGCTACTACTACTGCTACTGCTACTGCAACTACTACTACTACTACTACTACTACTACTACTGCTGCTACTACTACTACTAATACGATACTACCACTACCACTACCACTGCCACTACTACTACTACTACTACTACTACTCCTCTTACTACTACTACTACTAATCTTCTACTACCACTGCTACTACTACTACTACTACTGCTACTACTACTACTACTACTACGACGACGACGACTACTACTATTACTCCACTACTACTGCTACTACTACTACTGCTACTACTACAACTACTACTACTACTACTCTTCTACTACTACTGCTACTACTACTACTGCTACTGCTACGACTACTACTACTACTACTACCACTACCACTACCACCATTACTACTACTACTACTACTCCTACTAC